AAAGTCCCAGAGCTCTGAATTCATTGTTCCAGGACAGGGCTTGGGAGTCAGAATCTTCTGCTTGTTTTCTTTCAACAAAGATTTTTTTCAAATGAGTAAAACTTCCATTCAACATTTCCTTTCCTTTCATTCAACAACCTTTTCATTTAAATGGATAAATCCTTTTATTCATTTGTCCCTGTTTGTAAGGTAAAGTTCACGTAACGTTAACCATTGTAAAGTATAACAGTTCAGGGGCATTTAGTACCCCACCATGTGGTGCAACCATCACCTCTGTCTGGTTCCAAACATTGTCAGCATCCCCATGAGGAAACCCTATCCCCATCAAACAGCTGCTCCCCATTTCTCTTCCTCCTAGCCCTGGCAACAAGCAATCTGCTGTCTGTCTGTATTTGCTTTTTCTATTTCACATGCGTGTAATCATATTAAACGTGGTCTTTTGTGGCAGGTTGCTTTCACTAGGTATCTTTTTGAGGCCCATTCATGTTGTAGCATGTATCAGTGCTCAATTGATTTTTTATGGCTGAATAGTATTCCATTGCTCACCCATTCATCCACCAATGGACACTTGGGTTGTTTCCTCCTTTTGACTATTGTGAATAATGCTGCTATGAACATGCACATACAAGTATTTGTTCAATTACCTGTTTTTAATACTTGGGTGTACACCTAGGAATGGAATTGCTGGGTCATAAGTTAATCCTTTTTGTGGAAAAAAATTTGAATGAAGTTCTGCAGCTGATTCAATGTGAATCTGGAGTTTAGAGTCACTAGTGTAGAAGATGGGCGAGGCCACCGAATAAACGGACTGCCCTGGGGAGGAGACAGGGAGTGGGGCCATGGCAGGTCCAAGGCAAAACCTTGGAAAGACAATTCAGAACTGCCAGAGAAAGAGCCCACGAGGGAGAGACACGACTGCGAGAGGTCACAGAACCAGAGGAGGGTCCAAGGGGGAACCAGCCACACCACACGCCGAGGAGGACCTGAGCGAGACGTTGGCAGCTCGCTGCGCGTGGGCGACATGCAGGCCACTGCAGACCTGGGTCTGCCAGCTGCACGGAGGGCCTGAGTCGAGGGGTGGGGCCTCCGTGCCATGCACAGCAGTGGAGAAGAGGCAAGTACTATGCTACACTCTGATTCATGATTTACTCTTCAAGGGCGAAGACCATGTCTCGTCTCTCTGTTCTCCCATGACACCTGGGAACGTACAGTGCAAATATATAGCCCATGGTAAAATCTTACTGAGCCCAGCCTGTGTGGCTCAGTGAACTGAACACTGTCATGGACTGAGATGTCCGGGTTCGATTCCCACTCAGGGCACCTGCGATCCCCAGTAGGGGGCGAGCAGGAGGCAGCCGATCGATGCTTCTCACAGTGATGTTTCTATCTCTCTCCCTTCCTTTCTCTCTGAAAAATCAATAAAAATATTTTTTAAAAAATCTCATTGGACTTATTATTTATACCCCATCAAATAATGTGTCAATGCCCCTGCCAGCTGGCCCACTAACCTGCAGCTGAGCACTGACTGGTAATTATTCTGCGGACCACGTGATGCTTTCTCTAGGATTTTAACTACATGGAAACTATTTGGGTATAACAATGTATAAGTAGCAAAATTATTTCATTCAAATCTCAGGAAAATATTTAACAAATTCTTACATTTTTCCTATTTTTGCTGCCTAAAATACTGTTTTTGTTGAAAAGAATTTGCCCATTTTTACACCGTTGCCAGGGTCTGAATCAATCCTGATGGGAGACAATGCCCCATGATTTCCCTGAAAAATTACTTTCTGAATTATTTTCTTTTATGATTAGAGAAAAGAGTAACTTTCACAACGATTCCATTTGCAAGATGAAAAGTGAGACTTAAGGTCAACTTTATGTTTGAAGTCACTTTTTCAATTTAACTTCAGTTTAAGTTCCCAGTGGTTGGTAAGCACCTCTGAAATGTACACGTGCTTTAAAGTAAAAAATATGTGTTAATTTTTTTCTCGGTCTTCAGTGTGAGACCCGCCAAGAAATGTCTCCCGGAGCGGTCAAGTGCCTCTCCTGGATTCCTTTTCTCAATTAGTGCTTCTATTTTGCAGACAGTAACAGTATTTAATTTGAAATTTCCTCTTTCAGTGCCAATTCCAGTTTGAACCCCTTCCTGTGAAGGCTTTAAGTGCAGCTTTATGTGACACACAAAGCATTCGAAGCGGCCAAAGTGAGAAGGGGAAAAAGATGTTTTTCTTTTGGTATCAAGCACCTGGCAAGAAAATACGGTGTCGAGCCTGGAAGGCATTCCTGGCTCTCCCCGGAGGGTCCAAACGAACTCGTTTTGATTTCCCTTTGAAAAACTAGGCGGTTAGAGTACATTTGCTTCGATTTACAGTTTACCAGAATTTCCTGTGTTGTTTCTTGTTTCTGCTGCTGTTGCTTGTTCCTGCTCGCCGACAAATCAGGGGGAGGCTGCCTGACCAACATGGCAGGTGGCGGGGACAGTGACTTTCTCACCCTGACTCCTGGCACTGGGTCGGGCAGTAACAACCTCTAGCTCTGAGGGCTTCACGGAAGCCAGGTACCACCTACGCAGCAACTTCGCAACGTGGATACAAAGAGAAAATGATGAGACAGAAGCACCTCCCACCACTCTTCCTACTCTTCTTGCCATTTGGGTGTCCCTGGTCCAACCTGCCCCAACGGAGTCCCGGAACAAAGCTCACTGTCAGTCGCTCACACAAGAGAGCTTGTTGGATGTGACACCAAAATACAAGAAAAAAAAGAAAGATTGAATAGATTTCAGGATTAAAATATTTTATATTGTGCATGATACCATCAACCAAGTGAAAACACAACCTAGAAAGTGAGAGAAAATATTTATAAATCATATATCTGATTAGATACTCGTGCCCAGAGTATATAAGGAACTCTTACAACTCAACAATTCAAAAATAATCCAATGTTTAAAATGTACAAAGGACCTGAATAGACATTTCTCTAAGGAAGACACAGAAATGGCTAATAAGCTGGTGAAAAGATGCTCAACATCATTAACCATCAGGAAAATGCAAATCAAAACCACAGTGAGCGACCACCACACACCCACTGGGCTACCCAATGAGATGGATGGCCAATGACAGGTGAGGATGGATGTAGAGAAGCTGGAACACTCATTGTAGCTGGTGGGAACATAAAAGGGTGTGGCCACTTTGGGAACTAAGGTAACACTTCCTCAAATGATCAGAGTTGCAACCTGACCCAGCACTTCTTCTCCTGGGTGTACACCCAAGCGCACTGAAAACACCTCCACACAACCACCTGTACATGAATGTTCACAGCAGCATTATTCATAATCGTCAAAAGTATAAACAATCAAAATGTTAATCAAAATGAATAAGTAACCTGTGGTATATCCATACAACAGAATATTATTCAGCATGAAAAGGAACGAAATACTGACGCGTCCCACAACCTGAATGGACCTTGAAAACATTATGCTAAGTTAAAAAAATCAGTCAGAAAAAAGAAATCTTATGTAATTGCATTTATAAAAAGTCCTAAGTAGGCAAATCTTGAGAGACCAGAAAGCAGATTAGTGGTTGTTTAGTAGTTGGGGGAGGGGTTTGGAGGGTGGAGGAGCATGAGGACTGACTGATAATGGATGGGGGTTTCTTTTTGGGGTGATTAAAATATTCTAAAATTGGTTGTAGTGACGGTTACAAAACTATGAGTATACAAAAAGCTATTGAGCCCGGCCAGTGTGGCTCAGTGGTTGAGCTTCCACCCATGCACCAAGAGGTCACTGGGTTGATTCCTTGTCAGGGCACATGCCCAGGTTGTGGGCCTGATCCCGGGGTGGGGGGGGAGGGAGCATGCAAGAGGCGGCCAATTGATGTCCTCTCTCATTGATGTTTCTCTCTCTCCCTCCCTCTCCCTTCCTCTCTCCCTCAAATCAATAAAGAAACACACACACACACACACACACACACACACACTATTGGACTATACACACTTGGGGTGAATTGCATGGTGTGTGAATTGTATCTCAGTAAGTTGTACTTCTTTCCAGATGCTCTGGTCGTTCCTCACTATCCCAGATCCTTCTCGCTGCACACGTGTCCTGACTTCACGGGAGTGCAGAGTTCTGGTTCATCATTTCAGCACATCTGAATTTGTTCCTCGCCCCCGAATATCCCACAACCAGGGCACGAGAGTGCATTCCTTCCACCTGGAGGCTCCCCCGCCCGAGGAGGCTCCCTGCCCCGCGTCCGCTCGCCTAGGCCTGCGGGGCATGTTCCAACAAGGAAGGAGATCAGAATACAATGGTAGAGAACTATCATTACGTGAAGAGGGACGGTTCTGGGTTCAGGGTGGGGGTGTATTTGTGGGGAAATGGGAACAGCTTCTTTGGTCTCATGTAGGAACCAGAGGTGGGGTGTGGGCGGCGAGGAGACCTGGGAGAGACACTGTCCTCAAGTCCAGAGTGGGCTTTCCCTCTGACTCGCTGGGCACCCCAACAGGCAGTGTCGTGAGCGCGTGGGTGGAGAGAAAAAGAGGCATGCAGATGATGTCACTTGGGACTTCTAAGGCGGAAACAGCAAGGCCATCTTGCCAACGTGACAACTGGTCCCTATAAAGTGACCTTGCTGGAACCCACACCAGGCGTTCTCCTTTTTTTTAACACCAGGCATTCTTAAAGGGGTAATGCAGCAAGGAAGTTAAAAGCATTCTGATAACTGGCTTCTGAGAAGCTAACATAGAAAACAATGTTTGAAAAAGTACAAAGAGTGTATAACCATAGCACAGAAGCAGGCCCACAGAGCAGCCGAGCCTCGACCAGGCACTGCCCGAGCCCCTGCTCCCAGCAGCCAGGGCTCTCACCTTTCAAGTGGTTCACTGCCCCTGGGGTGGTGCCCCTCAGCGGTCTCGCAGTTTCCTTTATCATTCTGTCTAACTCAAATTTCTATCAGATCTGTACCTCGCACACCAGTAGTCTGTGGGATGTAACAACGCCCACCCTAAAAACCTTCCCAGACTTCACGAGAAGCCAACAAAGCCTTCTGGTCGGACCCGAACTCACAAATCGGCACAGCGGGGCCCCCACCAATGCTCCTGTTGATGGAAAAGAAATGCCCACTGACATCACAGGAGAGGCACCCCGCTCTCACAGGCCTTGGACGTGGAGCTCAGCCACGGAACCAGGGAACCAGCGCATACGGGGACTAACTTCCCGCGCCGGCTCCCGGCAGCGTTCTTCCAGGTCACCCCCAGCGACCGTGACTGCAGGCTCTGGCGCTTCTTTTATCTTCTCAGAAGACAATAAACAAAACAAAAATGTAAAGCCCACTAATGCCTTCCACAGAATCTGTGAATGGACAGCTAACTCGCACTTGCACCCCTAGAATTCTGGTGCTTTGCTCTCTTTTCTGTAGACACGGGACACAGACAGTTCAGAACACGGAGGTCACATGCCCACCTGCAGCATATGACAGTTTTGCAGGACAGCGCCAGGTCCAGGAAGCTCCTCCTGACTTCGAAGGACAGCGCGTACTTGAGGGTGTGGCCGTCGATGATGAGGGCGATGTCGTTCTCCTTGCCCAGCGAGTTCCCCAGCTCCGTGCAGTGCTGAGTAATGGCTGCCCTTGTGGCCTGAAACAACAGTCAGGGGGAGGGGTGTCATTTGTGTGTGTTTAATGTATCAAAACCAAAACAGAAATCAAAAGTTAAGTTCCTGGAAGTGAGAACGTGCTCATTCTAATGTAAAATCTACATAAAGTAAATCTATGTAATATATGTATATAGTGTATATATATAATGTAAACAGTGTTTAACTTGGTATATGTATACATTAAAACTTCACTGGATTGCTCTCCAGATCTGCTTCATTAGTGAAAACATCCCCACAGTGATATTTGCAGTTGATATTTACTTATAATAGCCCATCCTGGTTGCAGCGACAGCTGATCTAGAGCATCCGAATTCTTCTCTGTTGGAACCTGAATTGCTAAGGTCCTTACAACTATCTTTCTCTCCCCTCCTCTATACTACATACGTATTCTTCTCGGTGCCCCTTAGAATCTCCATATAAACAAATGTGCTTTTTGGGGAAATAAATGTTGCTGGTTTAAATAGTAAACATTTCTTAGTTTGCACAAGGTAATCTTTAAAGCATCTAAGAGATATTAGCATATATAAAAACAACACAAAAGATTAATTTCTAGTCTCTGCTGAGATCTTCAGATTAAACTATTTCTTTCTTTGGATCATCAGAATAAGAAAAAATGATTTTGTTTTTCATGTTACAGAAAATATCTAATCAAGTTAAACTGCCAATATCTTTGAAAACATTACCACCAGCCTAAAAAGTGCCTTGGTGTGATGTCTATTAACAGATGAAATTAAAGCATAGAATCATTCTTAAGATTCTTTAAAAATGATGTTCTCATTTTCCCAGTGAATTTATGACTATGAATAGGATATCTGGTTCAAATATAGGAATGCAATTTTTGGCTTATAATAAAAAATGTGGTTTAAGTTAATCAGGGAAGCCAAGCAGTCTGCTGAAATTATTTTGTCTGGACAACTATCCTTTGACTACTAAGTTACATTTTTACATGTAATTCATCATATGATAACATAAATTACGGTCTTAAAGAAACAAGTTGAATGAACAGGACTCCTTCTATCCCCTTATTAAGCCGAGGATCAGCTATCACACAAAGCGAGAAACAGGTTATATTGTCTTTCTGCTCAGTTTTCATTCTCAACAAGAGACACTTGGCAGGACTGTGTCTGGAGCCCTGGTTCTGTGCTTGAATAGCCTGAGGTCTAATCCCAACTCTCCATGTATTACCTCTGTGACCTTGGGCAAAATACTTAACCTCTGGAAATTACAATGTCTCATTTGTAAAATGGAGCTGAGAATACTTATTTGATAGCACTTCTGTTACAAATGAGCTCTACAATGTAACTTACTTAGCACTGGGCTTGGCACATAGTGGTGCTCAGTAAAACTCCCTTCTCCTGCTACTCTTTACTGGCTAAGGACGTTCTGAATCAAGGGGCATACGCACTTCTACCACTTCAGGCAGTAAACAGATGCCATCATTGACAATGCTTTCTTTGTCAGTGTAATAACAGAAGAACAATTGATAGAACAGTGCTCTAAAAATAAAAGTTAAATTGCCTTTTACTAAAAATAAAGATAAAGGAAATGTTATACTTCTTATTCTTAATTAGTTGAGTAATTCTGAATCTCAAAGAAAATTGTTATGAAAACATCTATGCTGACCTTATCTGTGCCCATAGCCTGACCTTTACAACGTGGGTAGAGAGGAGAAATTCCACGCGCTTAGGGAAATCCCAGCTTGGCAGCCTGGGTGCCTTCACCAGGGACTCAGACAGGTAGGGGCATTTCTGGAGGGTGTGCCTGCAGGACTCAAAGCCTGGCAGACAGAAAATCCTCCTGGGAAACAGGGATGAGTGAAGGCACACAGATCTGGTCCACGGACAACGTGTCAAATGCTGCTGTAGAGGCAGAGTCTAGCCCAGTGTCCTTGACTCCCACTGGCCTCCCCTGTTGACTTTTGAAGGAAAAGCCTAAAGAATAAAAATCTGAGATGCAGTGACTATTGTCTGTGACTTTTTTAAAGGGGACATAGTGCCCATGGAGATAGGAAGAGCCTTTCTCTACTTGGGTTATTTCTGGAGTGCATGAGCACAGACTGGACATCAAGGGTGCCTCTTCCTCAGCTGGAAGAGGAGTTGGGAGGCCCCAAGTCTTGGCTGCTGACCACTTGTCGGTGTGTGGGCTCTGGGTGAGCAGGGAGGGTGTCGCCAGTACTGGGAATATGAATGGCAGAAATGTGGTAACAGAAAACTATGCTCTGTAACATTTGCAGTCTCCCCCTTTCCCGCCAAAATTGTAGAGAAGGACCTGAAAGGAAGTCGGAGTTTTAGCAGCAGCGGGAGGGGGCAGAGAGGATGTGTCCGCCACACATCGACCCCTGCAGGCATATCCTCCAGGGAGGCTCTCTTCTGAGAGCCCCTTGCTATGCCATAGCCCGTCAGGACCCGGAAACATGGGTGATACTGAGGTTGAAATGCTTTCCAGTTGAACCACGAAAAATGCTATGGACTGAATGTTTGTGTCCCTTCCAAAATTCATATAGAAAGCCCAATCCCCAACATGATGGTGTTTAGAGGTGAGGTCTCCCGGAGGTGATTACATCATGAGGGTGGAGCCCTCACAATGCTATTATTGCCCTTAAAAGAGGAGACAGGGAACTTCTTTCCTCTCTTCCTCCCTACCCCCAATTTTTCTCTCCCTCTCCAGACACGTGAGGACATGAGTCAAGCCTATTACAATCAGCCAACAAGATGCAGTTCTCAGTTATCGGAGAACCTGCTATGAACCCATGGTGGTAAAAAATAAAACAGTAAATAACTAGAATACATGTTCTATGTTATATACGCCCATAAATATTATAATACACAAAATTAAGAAAGAAATAATGAAAACCTAGTATTTTGCTTATGGATAGATCCTAAATACCATCACCATCATACCCTAGCCTGCTTTGGCTCATTTTTAGTGACCGGCTATTATACTACATTGTAAATTCCATGAAGGCAGAAACTCCCTTTGCCAACCTCTGTCACGCTACCCCACAGTAGGTGCTCAGTTAACATGCTGGCTTCAAAAATAAATTGACATGTGGAAGTTGTGATTTTAAATATGCATTGTAATATCTTTAAGAGATCATTTGCGGGTCCTGAAGGCATCTACTTGTCTGACCTCCTGGTACATTTTGCATTACAATTTCCTTAAAAATATTTGGTTTTTGATCCTTCTTACTCCTTGTCTCCTGGCCTTTCTGTCTTAAACTTTCTTTGCTCCTAACCTACCTTCTTAACTATTCTCCATCTTCTTCTTCTTCTTCCCTTGCTTCATCTGCTCAGAACCTCACCTTTGCCTTTGAGATTGGAAGCCTTTCCTCCCACTAACACCTCTCAAGGCCCATCCTCTAACGCCTCGTCTCCAGCCTCTACTTTGGTTTTAATTCCTACGCTTTCAATGCCCACTCAGCAATAATCTTTGATCAAACCCAGACTAGCTGTGTTCGCCACACACGTGTGGCAGAATATAGGTCCCTTCTGTGCAGTTCTCAGGCGAGCCAATGGAAGGCATTACTATCACAAACAGTTCCTTATTCTCCAATGGACTATGAGTCAAAAGTCTATTTGTAAGTTAGTTATTGGGCACTTAGAATCCATTTTCCCAAAGGAACGATGCTACAAATTGCGGTCGGATCCCAGAGCCTGTTAATGCCTATTTAGCTTAGTTGCTAAAATTATACTGCAGTTTCTTATTTTAATAAAAAACCAATTACTGAAAGCTACAACAGACTTAGCTGTTATGAGGGGCATAGGGAGTTGGGGCTGGGGGTTTGATTCCCAGAAGATACGAAACATGCCAAAATCTTTCGTTACAATTTACCTTTTAGGCATTAATATTTAAATATATATTTCCAGTTTTTCATACATGTTCTACAATCTTACTTTCCTTCACAATTAAAAACACACAATCTAATGCCAAAAGTGAGTGACTGTGACTCCAGGCTGACCCTCCAGCCACACCAACCACTCACCTTCCTTGTCCCCAGTGTGCTGTATTGTGCATCTGCATTTCTTATCACCAAGGTCAGCACTTGCCTTTGTATTTTCCGTTTTTAAGATACGATTATCTAAATACTGTACACAGTACTGCCCTGTGATCTCAGGAAATGGTTGCCCATCTGCTGATCAGGAGATCAGAGGTTCATATGATGGACCCTGAAGTAAAGTTCAAGTACAACCTGCTCAGCTTTGGTTCTACTGTTAATCACTTTTGGGATTTAATAACCAAACCAGGAAAAATGAAAATTTCTGGAACATAGATGCATTTCTACCAATTTGCAAATAGAAAGAATTTCTCCCCAAATTGAATAGTTCCAGCAACACTGAAATTCGCCGAGGCAAGCAGCCCTCTCCCTCTCTGTGAGCTTGGCAGCGTCATCCGGAATTTCTCAGACGCCATGGTAGCAGCAGCTGCCTCGGTCCTCACTTTGATGTTCTGCAAATTCCACTGGGCTCAGAGCTGATGATGCTGAAAACCAGGATGGTTTGAGTTTCACAAGCAACAATTCAACCAAATCATGCTTAGCCTTCAAGTTCGAGAGCAACCTCCCTTCTCCTGAATCAACCTGGGGCTAGTATGTCCCGATAACGCGCATCCCCAAGACCATGAGTTCAGAATGGTTTTGCTTTTCCCACTCCATCTGTCTACTTTTCTTGTCCCTGGCCAACTATCAGATGTATCTTTTCTCCCCACTGCGCTCTCCCATTCTCCAAATCATTCCCGCTGCCCAGCATCTCGTGCCAGGTACAACTGCATATTCCCACCTCGTGCTTTTTTTTTTTTTTTTTCACTATAATTTTCATTTCTAATATAATCACACCTCTTTCTTGACAGCATTAAGACTCTCAATACTTTTGAACTTAGCGACCTTAATGGGTGTGAAAGCACAAATCCAGCAAACCCATTATAGGCTAGTAAAGAAGGTCAAGGCTGAAATCACAATAATTACACATGGTCTCTACTGCCAGCT